GCTCGTTCGGCGCACACCGCCAAAAAGAACTTTACGTGCGGACCACCCCCAAAAGCGCAAAGGATGGGCGACGGCTACTCGAGTAGCGCATCACACCCCTCTCCTTAAAATCCCTGTGTGGTGGGGGGGTGCCTTCCTCCCATCCCTCCCTGGGGTTGTGGGTTTTCTTTCTATCTTTCGCGTGGGAAAACTGTCTTCCTCTCCCCATCCCTCGTTACTCGTTTGGGTGTGTGTATGTTCTCTCTCTTCCCCGTGAGAAGCCCCGCGCATACTCGTACGACAACAACGTGTGTCTCACACATCCATATGTAGAAAAGAATTGTTTCGCGCGAGAAATTCCTCAACGGACAACGCACAACGCTCAACACTTTCACTTTTGTGTACACAACACACACACACACACACACACACACACACACACACACACACACACACACAAGAAATCTCTCTCTCTCCCCCTCACACACACACACACACACACACACACACACACACACACACACAAAACAAGATCACACACACACACACACACACACACACACACACACACACACACACACACACACACACGCACACACACACACACACACACACACACACACACACACACACACACACTCGCACTGAGGGACGCGTCTCTTGTCGCAAGCCGTTCTACCCAAGTGGGGTAGGTTTAGCAGTGCCCACTCTCCGCCTTTCGCACGCTCCACCTGCCAGCACCAGCAGGGGGGATTGCAATACTTCCCTGGGAAGCTGGCCTCCATCAGAGCCTGTCAGAAGCACGTCAGGCAGCAGCCGAGGCTGCCATCGTCTCCACAGTGACCGTCCACGCAGAAGTTGGCGCCCTCGAGCGCGCGGGCGCTTTCCACCCGACCGTCGCGGGCCACGCCCCGGATTCCCTTGATGGCAGAGTATGGGTCGGGAGCGACGTGGCCGCATGAGTGCGGGGCGCCGAGGCACCTGCCGTGCTCACCCGAGCCCTCTTTACGGCAGACGCCGCACTCGCAGCTCGTGCCGCAGAGGCCAACCTCCGTGCAGGCCTTGACAGGCGAGGAGAAATTTGCGAGGTACGGACACAAGCCCGCCGTGACCGCCCACTCGCAGAGCTGGTTTGCAGGCGCGGGCAGCGACGTGCATCCGTCCTTTGCCCACTCGCATCCGTTCTTGATGACCTCCTTGACAGCGATCTCGCACGCCATACAGTAAGTGTTGTTCGTGGGCGGGGGCGCGGCGAGGAGCGCCAGCGCAACTTGCATCTCTGACGCCTCCCCTCCCTATCTCTGGACGGCGCGGCGCGTCGGATGGATGTGAGATGAAAGAAATACGCGGCCGTCTATGTATCTTTGTGCCGGAGGCATTAAAATCCCTGTGTGGTGGCGGCGTGCCGTCCTCCCCTCCCTCCGTTTTGTGTTTTTTTCTTTTCTTTCTTTCTGTAGGAGACTGCGTTGTTTGCGTTGCAAAGAAAGAAAGAAAGCAAACAGACACCCCCAAGGGAGGGGTGGGAGGACGGCACGTTGTTTGCGTTGCGCCTTCAGATAATACATACGTGGCTCTTTTTCTCCGCGGCAGGGCGGCCCCGTATCCCTCGGGCCTTGCGCATGCGCGCATCATTCACCCCTCGTCCCCTCCTCTGTCCTCTCTCTCTCTCTCTCTCTCTCTCTCTCTCTCTCCCTCCCTCCCTCCCTCCCTCCCTCCCTCCCTCCCTCCCTCCCTCCCTCCCTCTCCCTCCCTCCTCCCTCCCTCCCTCCCTCCCTCCCTCCCTCCCTCCCTCCCTCCCTCCCTCCCTCCCGCTCTCTCTCCCGCTCTCTCCCTCGCCCACACACCCACACCACTCCCACTGGAATCATATTACACTGATTATAAAACAGATCGAACTTTAGTCTGCCGTCCTCAGCATACTCCCCAACGCGTTGTCGAAGACCGACAAACAAACCTCCCAGCAGGGCAATGCCGACAGAAGCCGCCAGTGCCAGCGCGGTGGCATTGGCAATCGACACTATGTTCGCCGTCGACTCGCACAGTGAGAATGGTCACGACGCCGCCAGCCCCGGGTCCGATGGCTTGGACGACGAAGGCCAGCGCGCTAGAGGCGAGGACGGCAGCGAGAGTGCTGCGGTGATGGTGGACGCTGACGGAGCGGACGCTCCAGTGGTGGTGGGCGGTACTGTCGCCGTCGGCATCGCGATCGAGCCCCCCCGCGACGAGGGCCACCTGTCTGCAGCGGATCGGCCTGTGAGCTACAATTCAGTGCAAGCCGCTAGGAGGCTTCAGAGCGGCGCGACGCGCGGGTCGGCAAAGTGCCTTCTCTGCTTCAGCCTTCTGCTCGTGCCGACGCTTCCGGGCGTCATGGGCATTGTCTCCA